GGAGTAACTTACTTCAATACAATAAAGGCCATATATGACAAATCCATGCCTAACATCATATTGAACAGTGGGAAAAAAAAAAAAAACCCTTTTTATTCTAAGATCAAAAACCAGGCAAAGTTGCTCACTTTTTTTTTTTAAGATTTTATATATTTATTTGAGAGAGAGAATGAGAGATAGAGAGCACATGAGAGGGGGGAGGGCCAGAGGGAGAAGCAGACTCCCTGCCGAGCAGGGAGCCCGATGCGGGACTCGATTCCGGGACTCCAGGATCATGACCTGAGCTGAAGGCAGTCGCTTAACCAACTGAGCCACCCAGGCGCCCAAAGTTGCTCACTCTTACATCTTCTATTCAACACAGTACTGGAACCCCTAGTCAAAGTAGTTAGGCAATAAAAATAAACAAATTGCATACATATGGGAAAATAAGAAAAAATTATCTGTATTGCAGATGGCATGAGCTTTTATGTAGAAAACCCTAAAGACTCCACTGAAGAACTGTTAGAACTAATAAACAAATTTAGTGAAGTTTCAGGATGCAAAATCAACATACTAAAATCAGTGGTCTTTCTATATACTAACGACAAACTATTTGACAAAAAATTATGAAAACAATCCCATTTACAATAACATAAAAAAGAATAAAATACTTAAGAATAAATTTAATCAAGGATGGGAAAGATCTATATGCTGAAAACTACAAAACATTGATGGAAGAAATAGAAAAAGATATAGACTAATAGAAAGATATCCTGTGTTCTTGGAATGGAAGAATTACTATTGTGAACATTTCCATACTACCCAAAGCAATCTATGGATTCAATGCAATTCCTATCAAAATTTCAATGGTGTTTTTTTAAGAAATAGAAAAGCAGTCCTAAAATTCATATGCAATCACAAGAGACTCATATAGCCAAAGGAATCTTGAGCAAGAAGAATAAAGCTGGAAGAATCATATTTCCTGATTTCAAAATGTATTACAAACCTACGGTAGTCATGACACAAGAAATTGGCATAAAACCAGAAATACAGACCAATGGAACAGAGTAGAGAGTCCAGAAATAAATTGGCACAATTATGGTCAACTGATATTCTTTTTTAAAATTATTTATTTATTTATTTATTTATTTATTTATTTATTTATTTCTATTTACATGAAATCCTTATATATCTATATTTTAGTGCATCATAAGTTTTTAATGTAGTGTTCAACAATTCATTAGTTGCATATAACACCCAGTGTTCATCACAACACATGCCCTCCTTAATACCCATCACCCAGTTACCCCATCCTCACATCCTCTCCCTTCTGTAACCCTCGGTTTGTTTCCTGAAGTCCAGAATCTTTCATGGTTTGTCTCCCTCTCTGATTTCTTCCCATTCAGTTTTTCCTCCTTTCCCCTGTGGTCCTCCGCACTATTCCTTATGTTCCACACATGAGTGAAATCGTATGATAATTATCTTTCTCTGCTTGACTTATTTCACTTAGCATAATCCCCTCCAGTTCCATCCATGTTGATGCAAATGGTGGGTATTCATCCTTTCTGATGGCTGAGTAATATTCCATTGTGTATATGGACCCCATCTTCTTTATCCATTCATCTGTTGAAGGGCATCTCGGCTCCTCAGTGAGATACAACCTTACACCAGTTAGAATGGCCAAAATTAACAAGACAGGAAACAACATGTGTTGGCGAAGATGTGGAGAAAGGGGAACCCTCCTACACTATTTGTGGGAATGCAAGCCACTCTGGAAAACAGTATGGAGGTTCCTCAAGTTGTTAAAAATAGAGCTACCCTACAACCCAGCACCTGCACTACCAGGTATTTACCCCAAAGATACAGATGTAGTGAAAAGAAGGGGCACATGCACCCCAATGTTCATAGCAGCAATGTCCACAATAGCCAAACTGTGGAAGGAGCCAAGGGGATGAAAGACTCTGGACTTCAGGAAACAAACTGAGGGTTACAGAAGGGAGGGGTTGGGGGGTGGGGTAACTGGGTGATGAGTATTAAGGAGGGCACGTGTTGTGATGAGCACTGGGTGTTATATGCAACTAATGAATCGTTGAACACTACATCAAAAACTATGATGTACTATATGCTGGCTAATTGAACATAATAAAAAATAAATAAAAGAATGGTAAAAAAAAAAGTATACCCCTACAGTGAACAACAGAAAGATGTTGTGGTTATATAAGTACCAGGCAAAAGACTAAGGGAAGAAATTTTCTAGAAAAACAGTGACACATTTCATAGTGATAAAATAATCCATTCAAGAAAAAACATAAAAATCCAAAATATAATAACATACTTTAAAAAAAAACTATATGAAGCATAAATTAACAGAAGCAAAGAGAGAAATAATCAAGCCACAATTATAGTTGCAGCTGTTGACACAATGCTCTTAGTAACTCAATGAATAAGGAAAAAAAACCCAGTAGTAACATCAAAAAAAAGAGAACACCAGAATTAACCAAGTCAACCTTAAAAGGAGCCCAAATCTGAACAGTAATTGCCTAAATAATTAAATAAACACATGCGCAAAGAAATGAGGGATTTCCTTATTTATCTCAAATGGATTTTTATGCTTTATCTTGGTTCTGTGAGCAGGGATGGCTCCCTGTATTTCATTCTTATTCCTTTTCTTGTCATCTGATCACCTTTCTTATCTTATCCTTTTCTAATCACTCTCCCCAGGGCTTCTGCACCTCATGAAAGGATGCTCCTGTCACTGACTTGGCAACATCCCTGTTCTCGTTCCCACGTATTTCCTACATGCCCCAGCTTTACAAATAGAACATGAAACACCTTTAATTCTCCTCAATCTTATTTTTCTCTCTCTCATATATCACATGACAGTGAACACAACTGGAACCCTCAACCTCACCATCATCCTTTCCCTCACCCTCAGTCCAGGGCCACAGTCACCTCTCAGGGTTCTTTATCCTGGACTCTGTGCACTCACCTCCCTCCTCCAGAGTTCCTGCACCTCAAGCCCTCCTGATAGGGCCTTACCTGCTCTGTTGTTATCAGGCACATTGTTGAAGCTGACACCAGGATGTCTTCTAAGGTATACATTTCTTAGTGCCTAATACTGTATTGTATACTTGACATTTGCTGAGAGGGTAGATTTTAAGGGTTCTCATGACCGAAAGAAAGAAAGAAAGAAAGAAAGAAAGAAAGAAAGAAAGAAAGAAAGAAAGAAAGAAAGAAAAAGAAAGAAAGAAAGAAAGAAAGAGAAAAAAGTGCGTATAGGAGGTGAAGGATATATTAATTAGCTTTATTGTGGTGAGTGCCTCACAGTTTTTATGTATATCCAATACCCAAGCTGTACTATAAATGAATACAATTTGTGATTATCAATTATATTTGGACAAAGTTGGAAAATTTAAAAAAAAAGATAAATTTCAACAATAATTTCTCCCGTTTTCAACCTCTAACATCGCCAAGTAAAATAAAAACCCAAGCACCTGGGGTGCCTGTGTGGCTCAGTTGGTTAAGCTTCTCCCTTTGGCTTAGGTCATGATCTCGGGGTCCTGGGATTGGGCCCTCAGTCGGGCTCCCTGCTTAGCAGGGAGTCTGTTTCTCCCTCTCCCTCTACTCCTCCCCCCTGCTTGTGCTCTCTCTCTCAAATAAAGAAATAAACTCTTTTTAAAAAGAGTTTATTTATTTATTTGACAGAAAGAGAGACAGTGAGAGAGGGAGCACAAGCAGGGGGAGTGGGAGAGGGAGAAGCAGGCTTCCCGCTGAGCAGGGAGCCCGATGCGGGGCTCTGGGACCATGACCTGAGCCAAAGGCAGATGCTTAACGACTGAGCCACTCAGGCACCCCAAATAAATAAAATCTCTAAAACAAAAGAAGGGCGCCTGGGTGGCGCAGTTGGTTAAGCAACTGCCTTCAGCTCAGGTCATGATCCTGGAGTCCCGGAATCGAGTCCCACATCAGGCTCCCTGCTCAGCAGGGAGTCTGCTTCTCCCTCTGACCCTCTTCCCTCTCGTGCTCTCTGGCTCTCATTCTCTCTCAAATAAATAAATAAAATCTTTAAAAAAAAAATAAAACAAAAGAAAACAACCCAAGCACCTCACTGACACAGAAGTACTTTCACATTTAAGCTTCAAATTTCCTTGCCCGTTATGCACTTATATTCCATTTGCTCAAAACTACTGTCAAATGATGTAGTTTCCATCCGCTCAGCATGTCATGTCATGTCCCACCCTCCCCGCAAATTCCATCTCCCTTCTGGGAAGGTGGAGTGCCTTATTTGTTCTGCTGTAGAACACCTGGCCCCCGCTCCACACCCAGGGAAGCAATCTCTCTCCCGCAGCTCTGCTGAGAGAGGTGCTCAGGTGTGTGCTTCCCCAGCCCTCTGCTCTCAACCCACTGCAGCCTCACTCACGGTGTGTGGTGGCGAAGTAGCCCCTTTTTCTTCTCTGACAAACTCAGAAGGCTTCAGTGGGAAAGCTGTTTGTTAATATTAGTTACCTTGGGCACTAGTGCATGTGGCACATGGTTGCTTATGGACTGACCGTGGACCAGGCTCTCGGTTCAGAGTCCCTGACATCCTTTCCAGTGACAGACTGAAGTTTGACCAGTGGGCAGCAGAGGGCGCTGTTGGTCTCCCCTAGGTTTGCAAGGCGGAGGGCGGGGTGTGTGTGTGTTGGGGTGGGGGGATGGTCTCCGGCTGCCTAATCTCCAGATCCCCTGGGGCTGGGACCCTGGTGCCTCTGTGCTTTGGTGGGGACTCAGCAACTGTCCCCTCTGGCTGAGGAGGCGTCTGCTGCTCGAAGGTCTGTGGAAGGTCCCAGTAGCTGCTTCCTCCCTGTTCCCTCCCAGGGGACAAACTTAGTCTCTGTGGAAATCAACCCTCTCTGTCTAAGGGACAAAGCTGAGACTTCAACTAGTGGCAGGAAACAAATCTGTGTGAGCAGCCCCTCCTCCTTCAGGCCGTGGAGAAGATAAAAGGCAGGCCCATCCCAGTCCTGATCTGAGGCTGCAGGAGGAGCATCCACCATGGCCCGGACCCTTCTTCTTGTCCTCCTGGCTCAGTGCACGGGTAGGGACATCCCCAGGTACCCATGACAGCTCTTGAGTGGGTGTCACCCTCACTGTCACAGACCACCAAGCAGCTTAACCTTTTGCCCTGTCCCATCTCCCATAAGTGTCTGTGTTTGTAGGCTCCCTGTCCCAGCCCGTGCTGACCCAGCTGCCCTTCCTCTCTGTATCTCTGGGAACAACGGCCAGACTCACCTGCACCCTGAGCAGTGGCTTCAGTGTTGGTGATTTCTGGATAGGCTGGTACCAGCAGCTGCCAGGGAGCCCTCCCCGGTATCTGCTGTACTACCACTCAGACTCAGATAAACACCAGGGCCCCGGGGTCCCCAGCCGCTTCTCAGGCTCCAAGACGCCTCAGCCAATGCAGGGCTTCTCCTCATCTCGGGGCTGCAGGCTGAGGCCAAGGCGGACTATTACTCTGCTACATGGCATGGCAACTCTAAGACTTCCACTGTGCTCCAGACCCATGAGGAAGTGAGACACAAAGCTGGACTACTGCGCTCTCCTGACCTGGTGCACCACCCACAGCAGGGGTTCTGACCAAGGCTAGCTGAGGGCTCACTTCATTATCATTTCTTCTGTTAGTACCTGATTTTCTTCAGACCACTTGATCTCACAGTATCACATACTTTTGTTAAGATAAAAATTTACATGAATCCATTGCTAGTGTAGTCTCACTCAATGTTGCACTGGTTAAATCCCATGCTCAGAGATAAATAGCTCCTCACCATCCCCAACCTCTCCCTCCTCTCTGTGAATTTTAGGTTGGGACATGGACTGTGGACTCTGGCATCTGGGTAGGAGACACAGGTCAAGTTGTTCCCATATCATAAAACTGCAGCTTGGTCCCCTGACCAGTCTGATGTCTCTGCAATCTGATCAATTCCAGGCCAAGACACACTCACTTCCAGGCATGAGGTGCTGATCTGAAATGGAGGCAGTCCCATGAGAGGTAGCAAAAATATTCCTCACGCAACGGCCTCCTTTTCCTAAAGGTAGGAAGAAGATAAAGAAGTTGCAAGAAACATCAATGGTGACCACTTCCACACCACCTCACACCTGGGCCCTTCTCCACCTGTCACTCTCTCAGGTGAGGACCAGACACAGGGGCCAGTATAGGAACCTCTCCTTTTGTCCATGCCCTCCATACGGGACTCCTCCTGCTCCCAGGCTCCCGTGGTGACCTCTGTGTCATTGCTGAGAGTCGCCATCTCACAGAGTCCTGGCCACAAGGAGCAAGATCACAGTTGGCCTGACTCTGATTCCACTATGGCTCTTGCCCCTCTGGACAGCCCCTTTTTTTTTTCTTTTCAAATTTTTATTTAAATTCTAGTTAGTTGGGCGCCTGGGTGGCTCAGTTGGTTAAGTGACTGCCTTCGGTTCAGGTCATGATCCTGGAGTCCTGGGATCGAGCCCTGCATCGGGTTCCCCCTGCTCTGTGGAGAACCTGCTTCTCCCTCTCCCTCTGCCTGCCACTCCCCCTGCTTGTGCTCTCTCTGTCTGTCAAATAAATAAATAAAATCTTTAAAAAGAACCAAAATAAATTCTAGTTAGTTAACATACAGTGCAATATTGGTTTCAAGAGTAGAATTTAGTGATTCATCACTTACATATAACACACAGCGCTCATCATAACAAGTGTCCTCCTGAATATCCATCACCCATCTAGCTCATCTCCCACCCACATCCCTGCATCAACACTCCGTTTGTTCTCTATCTTTAAAAGTCTCTTGTGTTTTGTTTCCCTCTTTCCTTTTTCTTCCCCCCCCCACACCGTGCCTCTCATATGTTCATCTGTTTTGTTTCTTAAATTCCACATATGAGTGAAATAATATGGTATTTGTCTTTTTTTACTTATTTCACTTAGTATAATATACTCTAGCCCTATCCATGTCATGGTAAATGACTTGAGTAATATTCCAACACACACACACACACACACATATCTTCTTTATCCATTTATCAGTCATGGACATTTGGGGTCTCTCCATAGTTTGGCTATTGTTGATAACACTGCTATAACCATTAGTGTGCATTTATCCCTTTGAACAAATCTGTATTTTTGTATCCTTTGGGTAAATACCTAGTAGTGCAATTGCTGGGTCATGGGGTAGCTCTCTTTTTAACTTTTTGAGGAACCTCCATACTGTTCTCCAGGGTGGCTACACCAGTTGGCATTCCCACCAACAGTGCAAGAGGGTTCCCCTTTCTCCGCATCCTCACCAACACCTGTTGTTGCTTATGTTGTTAATTTTAGCCATTCTGACAGGTGTGGGGTGGTATCTCATCATGGTTTCAATTTATGTTTCCTTGGTGATGAGTGATGTTGAACATCTTTTCATGTGTCTGTTAGCCATCTGGATGTTTTCTTTGGAAAAGTGCCTATTTATGTCTTCTGCCCATTTCTTTTTTCTTTTTTTTTTTAAAGATTTATTTATTTATTTGAGAGAGCGAGAATGAGAGTACATGAGAGGGGGGAGGGTTAGAGGGAGAAGCAGTCTCCTGGCTGAGCAGGGAGCCCGATGCGGGACTCGATCCCAGGACTCCAGGATCATGATCTGAGCCGAAGGCAGTCGCTTAACCAACTGAGCCACCCAGGCACCCCCCATTTCTTTTTTCTTAAAGATTTATTTATTTGAGAGCAAGAGAGAGAGAGAGAGCATGAGCTGGGGGAGGGGTAAAGGCAGAGAATCTTCAAGCAGACTCCCCACTGAGTGCAGTGCCTGATGGGGGACCATGAGATCCTGACCTGAGCAGAAACCAAGAACAAGAATTGGACACTTAACCTACTGAGCCACCCAGGTGCCCCTCTTCTGCCCATTTCTTAACTGGGTTATTTGCTTTTTGGGTGGTGAGTTTGATACATTCTTTCTAGATTTTGGATACTAACCCTTTATGTGATGTCATTTGCAAATATCTTCTCCCATTCCATAGGCTGCCTTTTAGTTTTGTTGAATGCTTCCTTTCCTTTGCAGAGCTTTTTATCTTAACGAAGTCCCATTGTTCATTTTTGTTTTTGTTTCCCTTGCCTTTAAAGACTTATCTTGCAAGAATTTGCTACAGCCAATGTCAAAGAGGTTGCTTCCTGTGTGCTCTTCTAGGATTTTGATGGATTCCTGTCTCACATTGAGGTCTTCATCCTTTTTGACTTTATCTTTGTGTATGGTGTAAGAAAATGGTCCAGTTTCATTCTTCTACATGTGGCTGTCCAATTTTCACAGCACCATTTATTGAAGAGACGGTCTTTTTCCGTTGGATATTCTTTCCTGCTTTGTCTAAGATTAGTTGACCACAGAGTTGAGAGTCCATTTCTGGGCTCTCTATTCTGTTCCATTGATCTATATGTCTGTTTTTGTGCCAGTACCATGCTGTCTTGATGACACAGCTTTGTAACATATTTTGTAGTCTGGCATTGTGATGTCACCAGTTTTGGTTTTCTTTTTTCAACATTCCTCTGGCTATTTGGGGTCTTTTCTGGTTTCATAAAACTTTAGGATTATTTGTTCCAGCTCTGTGAAAAATGTTGATGGTATTTTGATAGGGATTGCAATCCATGTGTAGATTGCTTTGATATTTTAAAAATGTTTATTCTTCCAATCCCTGAGCATGGAATGTTTTTCAATGTCTTTTTGTCTTCCTCAGTTTCTTCCATAAGTGTCCTGTAGTTTCTAGAGTACATATCCTTTTCCTCTTTGATTAAGTTTATTCCTAGGTATCCAATTGTTTTTGGTGCAATTGTGAACGGGATCGATTCCTTAGTTTCTTTTTCTTCAGTCACATTGTTAGTGTATAGAAATGCAACTGATTTCTGTGCATTGATTTTGTATCGTGCCACGTTGCTGAATTCCTGTATGAGTTCTAGCAGTTTTGGGGTGGAGCCTTTTGGGTTTTCCACCTAAAGTATCCTGTCATCTGTGAAAAGTGAGGTTGACTTCTTCTTTGCCAATTTGAATGCATTTTATTCCTTTTGTTGTCTGGTTGCTGAGGCTACAACTTCTACTACTATGTTGAATAGCAGTGGTGAGAGTGGGTATCCCTGTCATGTTCCTGACCTTAAGGGAAAAAACTCAGTTTTTCCCCATTGAGAATGATATTTGCTGTGGGCTTTTTATAGATGGCTTTTATAATACTGAGGTATGTTCCCTTTATCCTTACACTGTGGAGCATTTTAATCAAGAAAGGATGCTGTATTTTGTCAAATACTTTTTCTACATCAATTGAGAGGATCATATGGTTCTTGTCCTTTCTTTTTTTTTTTTAGGGTTTTTTACTGTTATGTTAATCACCATACATTACAACATTAGTTTATGATGATTTATCAATCTTGTTAATTCTTTCAAAGAACCAGCTCCTAGTTTCATTGATCTGTTCTACTGTTCTTTTGGTTTCTGTTTCATTGATTTCTGCTCTGATCTTTATTACTTCTCTTCTCCTGCTGGGTTTAGGCTTTATTTGCTGTTCTTTCTCTAGCTCCTTTAGGTGTAGGGTTAGGTTGTGTATTTGAGACCTTTCTTGTTTCTTGAGAAAGGCTTGTATTGCTATATACTTTCCTCTCAGGACTGCCTTTGCTGTATCCCAAAGATTTTGGACAGTTGTGTTTTCATTTTCTTTTTTTTAATAATTTTTATTGTTATGTTAATCACCATACATTACATCATTAGTTTTTGATGTAGTGTTCCATGATTCATTGTTTGTGCATAACACCCAGTGCTCCACACAGAATGTGCCCTCTTTAATACCCATCACCCGGCTAACCCATTCCCCCTACCCCCTCCCCTCTAGAACCCTCAGTTTCTTTTTCAGAGTCCATCATCTCTCATGGTTTGTCTCTCCCTCCGATTTACTCCCCTTCGTTCTTCCCCTCCTGCTACCTTCTTCTTCTTCTTTTTTTAACATATAATGTATTTGTTTCAGAGATACAAATCTGTGATTCAACAGTCTTGCACAATTCACAGCGCTCACCATAGCACATACCCTCCCCAATGTCTATCACCCAGCCACCCCATCCCTCCAACACCACCACCACTCCAGCAACCCTCAGTTTGTTTCCTGAGATTAAGAATTCCTCATATCAGTGAGGTCATATGACACATGTCTTTCTCTCATTGACTTATTTCACTCAACATAACACCGTCCAGTTCCATCCATGTCATTGCAAATGGCAAGATCTCATTCCTTTTGTTTTTGTTTTTGTTTTTTATTAATTTTTTATTGTTATGTTAATCACCATTATTACATAATTTGTTTTGGTGTACTGTTCCATGATTCATTGTTTGTTCATAACACCCAGTGCTCCATGCAGAACATGCCCTCCTCAACCCATCACCAGGCTAACCCACCCCCCCACCCTCCTCCCCTCCAGAAACCTCAGTTTGTTTTTCAGAGTCCATCATCTCTCCTGGTTCATCTCCCCCTCTGACGTACTCCCCTTCATTCTTCCTCTCCTGCTATCTTCTTCTTTTTCTTTTTTCTTAAAATATGTTGCGTTATTTGTTTCAGAAGTACAGATCTGTGATTCAACAGTCTTACACAATTCACAG